CGGAAGTGGAGCCCCGCCGTAGGGGGAGCGGAACCCACTGTGTCCACGCATATACTTTACAACGCGAAGCGAGGTTCACCTCACGATTGTTGTGTGAATGGGAAAGTATATGCGTGAACACAGTGGGTTCTGCCTCCCCTACAGGGGAGCTCCACTTCCGGAAGATATAACCTAACCCAAGCCTATTTCTGAAAATTTGGTTTAAGTTATACAACGTAACCCGAATCAAATTTTAGTTTTAAATCAGAAATAGATTTGGGTTAAGTTATATTTTTCGGAAGTGGGACCCTCCACGTAGGGAGGGGGCGGAACCCACTGTGTCCATGCATATACTTTACAATGCGAAGCGACGTTCAGCCCAGAATTGTTGTGTGGATGGGAAAGTGTATACGTGAACGCAGTGAGTTCAACGTAATCCACAACACATTTTAGTTTTCAATCAGAAATAGGTTTGGGTTAGGTTATATTTTCCGGAAGTGGAGCCCCCCCCGTAGGGGGAGCGAAACCCACTGTGTCCACGCATATACTTTACAACGCGAAGCGTGGTTCACCTCACAATTGTTGTGTGAATGGGAAAGTATATGCGTGAACGCAGTGGGTTCCGCCCCCCCCCTATGGGGGGTCTCCACTTCCGGAAGATATAACCTAACTCAAACCTATTTCTGAAAATTGTATTTGAGTTATACAACGTCCTGATGCGGATGGACCTCGCTTCTTGCGTGGAAATTACAAACTCATGTAAAAATTACGTTTTATTTCTCAAACTTTATTTGTTAATAACTTTTTAATAAACAATGACCGCCGATTAGGTTATAAGGAAAAGTTACTCAGGATTATGTCCTTGACAACATATGTCAAGATCAACGTCATTGAAGCTGAGTCCGTTATAGTAAATAATTACTAAAATAGTCATCCCATTTGAAAAAGTGGAGTTGACCTTGAGATCTCCGAAGCGCCGCTATCCCGACAAACTATGTTACCACCACTTAATGGCTCCTTTGAAACTATAAAACTTTTGTAGGAAAAAATTTTTCGTAACTGTTCTAGACTCGAAGATATTCGAGGTGGCAAGAGTTACTGGTCCACCCTGTATATTAAAATTATTTCGTAATATATTTCAGCTAATTAGAAAATATAAAGTCTTAAAAATCTCAAAATAAAATTGAAAACTATATTAATGTATGTACGATATCTAATTGTTAAATGCCTTCTTTATGTTTTAGCTGATATATTCGATAAGGTTGATGAAGAAATCAAGCAACATGCTGGTTTGCAGGCAAATTGCGTTGGCGGTGGAAGAATCGAGCACGATCCTGATGAAAAAACTATCAAGGTTTATGGATATTCACAAGTAAGTACTAAAATTTACTGGAATTGTTGTCTCTAATTATTTTTATGCGTTATTAATTAATTTAATAGATATATATTATATATCTCTAGATTTTAATTATTCTTAAATTATTTCTAGCGGAATCTTGTGCTGCATCAATAATTGTTTACTTTTTGTAAATCATTTTTTTTACTGAAATTTTTGTTGATTGGAACTTACTTTTCCATTTGTGAAATAAATTCATGAAATAAGTAAGATTAACGATTTGCTGATGTAAACGTCAGCGTAGACTGTGATGCACATCTGTTTGCAAGTGATATTTTAGATACTAGCAATGAATATTGCTGAATATATTGCATTGCATCACATAATACGTATGATTAACGACACAGATATTTTCACTTCATATGGTTGCTTATCTCAAACTTTACGTCCACGCAGTATCAAACTTTAGCAGATTAAAATTTATTCTGCCCGTAAGTTTCCACGCAATCGAATAGAAAGTTAAATGCGTTTTTTCAGCAAGTTGTACACATAGACCAGAAATACCTCAGCGTTTTCATTTTTAATATTTTTTATTACCTTACATAAATGCTAGTAAACTAATATATAATTAAAAAATACTTAAAACAATAGAAAAATTATCCGAACAGAATATTAATGGCATTTCATTGTTTTTTAAATTTAAACCAAGGTTGAAGGGCATACATTTCTAAAATGAACTGTATTTCTAAATAATCAGTGATTTAATATTGAAATATTTATCTTATATTCAGAAAATGCGTCGCAAAAATTTCGCTATTTCATATACAGGGTGAGTTTTTTAACTTGAAACTGTAAAATATCTCGGAAAGTAAGCTTTATCGAAAATACCCTGTATAATTCGCCGCGAAATGCTTCGCGAAGCGTATAAGTGCCGTAAATCTCGAAGCTCTGATCGATCAGATCGACCTTCAAGGTAAAATTGCAATTGCATTTACGCAAACTCGGAAATATTCGTCTATTACTTCCGTAGCGTCGCTGAATTTTATCGAGCTGTATCGCTTCATTTACGATAGTATCTGGTAGTATAAATCAATTATTAATGAATCAATTATTATGGGCATGCAAAAATATCCATAAGTTTTTATATTATCATACACATACACACATACATATAATTCATCTTTATGCTGTACTAGATGCAGCACTAATACATATATCACTAGCACTATTCTTTTATTTATGAATTCTTTTACACTTTTATTTGAAATAGAATATTCTTGAGGCAAATTTTATAGCAACATTATATCTTTTACAGTTTTTTTTACTTAACTATCATTGTGATTAAATTTTAGATGGATATTTTGTTTTGTTTTATTTATTCGACAAAAGAATATGTTATTGTAATTAAAAATGCAGTTGTTTTAATTGATTTTTAATAAATCGTTTTTTGCGAACTGTTCTCAAACATAGTATAAATTATATTATTGTGTGTTGAGCTTATTAATATAAAAAGTCTGTATAAGTAATTTTTGCTATTAAACCGCAGTTTGTGAAAGTAAAAACGATCAAACTATTTTTTAATAAATCAACAATCTATTTAACAAATATAATTGCAAAGCTATTTTTAAATATAATGCGAAAGCTATTTCTAAATAAACACGAAATTAGATATTTATGTTATTTTGAAAGAATGAGAAAAATTTTATATGAATAGCGGTTATAAGAAATAACGAGTACAATACCAGTCAAAAGTATTGCATCACTCCCAAAAAATACAGAAAACGCAAAGAAATATTTAAGTTTTTTATTTTATTTTTCTTAGCTGTGTTTTGCTCATGTTTATATAAAATTATTAAGAGGATGCCAGACCGTCCTGTTTTACCGGCCATAATAATTATACTTTGCAGACCGAAATTTTTTTATTGGTTACAAATGAGACATCCTTTTCCACGATTTAAGTATACATCGAAACAAAGATGAGACTTCACGAGTTTATGTTAAAAACGAAGAAAAGCTAAAAAATTACAGTTTTTTACCGGCTTCTTGCGTCAGGTCGTAACAATATTTGCTTAATATAAAAGTTTTGCAGTTTGTATGTACAAAATAAGATAGGTCTCCACTCGGAAA